GAACCATCTACAAATGAAATGTCTAGGATTTCCTTCAAAATTATCCAGGGGAGGAAGTGTACAAGTGTGTAATGTTAAAGCTAGATGAGTACACAAGCAGTTCATCATATTATCATCACTGGTGTCTGAAATTTTGTATGGTAAAAGAGCAATGTATGGGGCTGGCCCGGTGGCGCACTGCTACAGTGCACTGCTTGGGAGTGTGGTGGCGCTCCCGCCGAGGGTTCGGATCCCACATACAGACCGGTTCCCGCTCACTGGCTGAGCGAGGTGTGGGCGCAGCACCGAGGGTTGCGATCCCGTTGCCGGTCCCGGTCCGGTACGGGCGCGACACTGAGGGTTGCGATCCATTGCCGGACACGAAAAAAAGACAAAAAGGAAAAAAAAAAAAAAAAAGAGCAATGTATGTAGTACACTCAGGCAGTTCTTGACTAGAAAGTAGGGATAGTCGATATTTTAATACTTGGGCACCACATTCAGCAACTCTGCTTTGCTTTTTTCTTAATTGGCTAGAACAGTATTAGGATTTACTTAGAATTTATAGAATGTTTTCATAAAGGCAACTACTATTTAATGAGTGACTGTGCCAAGTACTTTGACAACAGCATTTACTTTTCACAATACCAGAAGCTATCATTTTACAGAAGATGATCCAGCCAATTTTCTCTTGCGTATTCCTCTTGTATAAATGATGTTTCCCAACCTGTTTCTGGCTCTGGGCTAGGGGAATCACTTTCCTGCTTGAAAACAGGAAAATGGAGTTTCAGCAGTAATAGAGTTCAATCTGTTGCCATGAAAGCTTTCTCTTCAGCAGCTCTTTCTCCATCTCCAAAATGACTGGGTTCCTCTTAAAAACAAAAAACCCCTTCTTTCAACCTTACCTTTAAGACAGTCTACCAGCCAGAGAAAACACTTCCTTTACAGCAAAATGCCAACGAATATGGCTTAGAATGTCACCAATAAATGTCCATAATAGTAAAGAAGTTTGATAGGGCATTACATATTTAATAAAAGATTCTAGTTACCCTCCACAAATTATTAAAGAGGAAAAGGTGACTTGATGGTCATCCGGGTTATTGTGGGCTACTCGATAGGATGCATTGAGGACAGTCTTTCTTGTGATATTCTTGCCAAAAATGCAGTCAGGAGACAAACCCAAATTGACGGAAATTCTACAAAATAACTGTTCTTTACTCTTCAAAAATTACAAGGTAAAGAAACAGGCTAAGGAAGTATTCCATATTAAAAGAGACTAAAGTCATGCCACCAAAATCTAACAATGACTATAGACAAAGAAAAAAATATAAAGAACATTATGGGCAATATGAAATTTAAATATAGGTTGTAGATTAGATAACAGTATTATATCAATGTTAGTTTCCTGATTTCGATAATGCTGTGTAAGAGTACCCCTGTTCCTAGGAAGGAGAGCATGATGTCTCCAACTTACTTTCAGATGGCTTAGAAAAAAACAAATGCAAATAAGAAATAAACAAATGCAAATAAAAAACCCAAAATATAATTGGGGAATTAGAAAATGGTATATAGGTTTTTGTACTATACCTACAACTCTTCGCCAAGTGTGAAATTGTATTGTTACAAAAAAGTCAGAATCTAAAACAGACATTGGATTTTAATGCTTTAGGCTGTTAGGAACTAAATCAGGACTTAAGCCCTGCCACTGCTTAGAAAGCCTATTATATACCACACTGACCCTTACAAATAATCTCTCAAATAGGTGTAAATATATGGATGTTAGCCGTGAATAATACTTACAATTAATACAGCTTCCTAATGCAAAATGCAACACTTAGCATCACTTTGCCTACATGAAAATCCAAATGAGCTATGTAAAAAAAGAAAAAAAACTTAAAAATCAATAAATAAGCTACTTAGAATCTAAAAGATCAACACACATGGGCACTAACTCATCCTTTTAGTAAATGAATGCCTGCTTCATGTTAGGGATACAAATATACATCTTATTTGAGATATGGTCATTGACTGGAAAAGTTCAAAGATTAGCATATAAACTGATAATTACTACAGTATATGCTAAACTGTGTAAGAGCTGTAGTTTGATTGTATTTATTTATTTTTTAAAAAGATGACCAGTGAGGGGATCTTAACCCTTGGCTTGGTGTTGTCAGCACCTCTCTCAGCCAGTGAGTGAACCGGCCATCCCTATATAGGATCCCAACCTGTGGCCTTGGTGTTATCAGCACCGCACTCTCCCGAGTGAGCCACGGGCCGGCCCCTTGACTGTATAATATTGAAAGTTGAAAGTAATTTTTTAATTCATGTTATTACATAAGCAAAGATTACTTAACTGTTAGATTTTAAAAAACCCTGTGGCCTTGGTGTTATCAGCACCGCACTCTCCCGAGTGAGCCACGGGCCGGCCCCTTGATTGTATAATATTGAAAGTTGAAAGTAATTTTTTAATTCATGTTATTACATAAGCAAAGATTACTTAACTGTTAGATTTTAAAAAACCTAATTATACATCCAACAATATACCAGTAGGCCATTAAAAGCAGATCTCTCTTAGCATACACCATGTAAAAACAAGTTAGACTGACTACTACTGACAGTACAAATTATCATTGAAAATAAGACATATACATATGACCACAGAACTCTGAGCAGATACAATTAACAGTGGCTACCTTAGTAAGTAGGCTCTTGAGGGACACTATATTCCAAGCATGTATTATTTCTGTAAATAAAGTTAAATCACAACTTAAGAAAGTCAAACTCTCCACTCTAGGTTCCATCGCCACAGGACTGAAATTGGGTGCAACCATACAAACTGAAGTTGGAAACAGTACTCTCTGAAAGCACATTACATGAAAAAGCAGCAATTTCTAAGTGCATACTGCCAAAGTTAAGGAAAAGATGATTAAAGCTTTCTAGTTCACCTGAGAAGTAACTGTGCTGTAGAATGCTTGGACCACTATTTAACACATGGGTAAATTTTATGTAAAAAACAAAGTTAATAAAAACTGATTTAGTATATTTAATCCTTCATAATAGCAGCTCGTATTTATTATGGTACTTTTCTAAGTACTCTTCATGTTCTTTTTCTTCACAACCCATGAGGCTTTACCCCTACTGTCTCATGAATGACACTGAAGTACAAGGGTGAATGACTTGACCAAGATAAACCATCTACTATGTTGACCTCAAACACATTTCTGAGGAACAAGATCCTTTCCCCATACTTGAGACAGGAATGGCTTGCCAACAGCAACTCCAATTCAAATAACCATTTGCCAAGAATTTGATTCCAAGTGGGAATACCCAATAAACTCAAAACAAGCCTTTCCCGCAATAAACATTTTATTGAGATAAAGCATAAATAGGTTAACAAAGTGGGAGAAAGAAAATACCAAGATGAAAGGTGGTAACACAGGAATGGGAATGTTTAAGTCAAAGTAAATAGTACTCGAACTAGCCATAAAGGCACTACGGCATGTGAACACTACCAAGTTAAAAGAAAGGGGAATTAAGATGTTCCTCACATTTCTCTTGCTCTGCATCAGTTTAATACTCCACCTAGCCACTGATGTGTGACATGTATTAACTCTGATCCTACTCACAAGTTAGCAAACTGAACATTTTATCAGTCAACTATGTTCTCAAGTGGGCCAATGTTATATACTGGCTTAGTGCATCCAATGACTTAGGTCTACAAATATGAAACAGGACTAGACTTTTTTTTGCTATTCTTGCCTCTGACCATGTGATGTCACATTGAGAGCCCAGCTGATGGATGTTGCATACTTTTAGAAAGCCAACATTTACACTGTAATATCCCCCTCCTTCCTTTTAAAAGGCTGTGGTTCAAAACTTTTGTTCTTTCCCTGAAAACAAGAGAACTTTGGTTAAAGCCAATTCTTAAGAGTCATCACTTCTGTTCTTTGAATAGGCAAGATAATAAAGTATAATTACACACAATTTCTTTTAAGTTTTTTTGTTTATATTTAAAAGATAAACTCATTACTTATAAACAAAAACAAAGTATCAAAGAAAATAAAATAATGAAAGCACCACCAACATTTTGGGGCACTACATTCCTAAGGTTAGGCTTTAAGATTTTTTTTAACAGTCAGCCCAGGAACTTCTCAAAAACAAGGCCTTTTGCACATTACCAAGTATGGTACTCCCAGTTACTGACACCTTGATCTTTGACTAATTTTTTCACTCAGCTTCATTTACTGGGTTTGTTTTCTGGATTATTTAAACCTACAAACCAACCATAGACTGTCATGTGTCCTAGTCACACCTGTGGCACAACGAGCTGTGTACCACCATGCCCTATCACAATCCAACCCTTACTATTTTACGTAGTGACAGCTCCTAGTAAGGTATTAAATCTGAGCCAATAAACCTACATCTTCATTTCAGACTAAGGTTAATAAACAATTTCAAATGTAATTACTTAAAAGTATGTGAATAAGGTATAAGGTAATCCATTCTAACTGCAATTTCAACTAATTAGGGTTATGGTTGTATGGACTATTTGCTAACCCAGTTACTACAAATTTGCATTATAATTTGGTTTCCACAGTATTATCGTATCATTCATAATAAAGTACAAAAAGTTAGGTTTACCCATTTAATTGTTTTTCAAACCAACCACACAAAGTATAAAATTTGTAAGGATGTTCTAACCCATTACCATATAAACTCACTAACTACAAAGGGGCAACTGTTGGCTGAAATTTTACTTTAAACTGACTTTACCAAGTGATCTGCTAAGTATCTGTCAAATATGATGATCTTTCAGCAGAGAACACGATACGTGCTTTCCTACTATGAATACACTAAATTTTTGATCAAAGAAAGGCTATTTCTACTTTTATATAACATTAAAGATCATTAAACCATACTCTAATGTCAAACAACACTAATTACACCTGACTTCCAGAAAGTGAGATTACTAGCTAAAGGAGATCCGAACTATTAGGAGCTATTTCTTGAAGAGTTCAATCAAATTTATGTTTCAAAAAAGTTTTTTTATTTAGGCAAAACTGTGTAACAGACTGACTACAAAATATCTTTTATTTTTAACCCAACTTGTTAAGGGGGCAGATAAAGACTTTGGCAAATTTGATTAACAGGACAAAATGTGTTATACAAACTGAATAATTTATTGCTGGTCTGAGGCTTGCCTTGTTTTACACTTAGGTAGAATTTACATCATTTCCACAAATAGCAGTTATCAACATTTGTAGGAATTTAATAGTGACCTATTCAATAAGGCAATCATCTTGGTAGCAAACTTATTTAAATCTTACATAACTCAAGCTTTATAAAAAGCCAACATAATTGAAAATTGGGTTCTCCCTCTAAAGCCTTAAGTATTCAAAGCTTGAAACGGTTAATTTAAAAATAAGCAAACAAAACAAAGAACCCTACAGCAGATCCTGCTGAAATACTTAAAAAAAAAAAAAATCTAAGTGAGCTTAATCTTTACAAAAGTTATTTTAGCTCAAAAGCTATAAAATCAAAGTTATCTTAATTCTACAAAGAATGGAGAGGGTCTTTGACTTCGTGCCACCATTTCCTTAGAACCTCATCTTTTTCATCAAATTTGGCCATAAATCAAATTTGTGTATGCCCCGTTTTCAAGAGATTCCTCTTGCAGAAGAGGCCAAGTATAAACATGGAAGAGTAACTGCCTAAGCAAGTAGGAAAGTGTTCCATAATAGTGTGCAAAGAACACAGAGTTTTGGGTTAATCTCTGGAACTCGATCTGGACCTTGATCTTGACTTTGAGTGAGATCTAGAATGGGATCTTGAAGCAGCTTTTTCTTTTTTTGGTGGAGGGGACACAGAACGAGCTTTTGAAGGTGGAACAGGTAGGGGTGAATTGGAATGAGACTGGCTCCTTGATCTGGATTTCGACTTTATATCACCTTTTCCATTTTCTTTTGGGGAACGGGATCGAGACCTGCTTCGAGATTTCTCATACTCTTCCTTAGATCTACTTCGAGTATGTGAACGGGAGCCCCGATCAGACTTGGGCTTGGATTTGCTCTTTGACCTAGATTTCCTGCCTTTTGACCGAGAACGTGATCGACCTTTGCTCCGTGACCTGGAACTGAACAAGAAAAGCCAGATTTTTTTCAATAGCTTGTCAAAACATACATGTGTTCCATGAAAAAATACAGTAGTAAAAAAAAAAAAAAAAAAAAAAAAAAAGACCCAATACCACATTATTTACCGGGAGCGACTTTTTGAGATACTTCGAGATCTACTGCGGCTGCTCCTGCGACTCCTACTTCGTGACCTTCTTCTGGACCGTGACCTGTAACACAAAACACAATCAAATCTTCATTTCAATACAACAAGAATATTTGTGCCATTTAGCGAAAACAAGACAAACCAAAAAAGAATACACTTGCTTACTACAAAATTAAATCCATCATCAAAACATCTGGAAAGGAATCCAATAATGCACAAGAAGAAAATAGGAGCTTGCTTAAGTTCAACTACCCAACAACTGGAATTACTCAATTATTATTTTTGGTTGGCAAATATTGTTTCCTCCCCTCTCCATGTTCTTCAACAAGTTACCTAGAACGGCTTCCAGAATAAGATCGCCTATGGCTAGTTCGTGGCTTATCTTCAATAAGCCTAATATTTCTGCCATTTATTTCTGTACCATCCAGTTTATCCAAAGCACGCTTCATGTCAGAGTAGGAGCGAAACTCAATTACACCCTCATTTGTGCGTTCCTTGTGAGCATCCGCATAGGTCACTTCACCTGCTTGTCGCATAAAATCCTAAAACAGCAACAACACTGGTTAGACTCAGAAATCTAATGAAAAATGTTTACATACTGTACTTGGTTCTCAAGAATGAAAGTATGAAACAAGTCTACCTTTTAAGCACTAGTTATTTTTATCTCAAATTATAGCACATACCTTTAAATCCTGCCAACTGCAACGACTAGAAAGATTTTCTACAATAAGCCTGTATTCTGTACGAACAGGTGGTCCATATTTGTCTCTGCCAGAAGTTCTCCGACTGCTGTATCCACCTCCACCACCTTTATCACATGATGGAACAATTAGATGCATTGTAATGACACGGATGCATAATGTTTTTGAAAGTTAGTACAAACATATCAACTTTTATTTACTGGAGTAGGACTTTGCTATTATATTGCTAAACCTTTGACACATTTGTGATTTGCCATAAATTAAATTAAGGGCAAGTCAAATAGACTAAATCCAACTAAACCTCTCCTACAATCTGTTAGAGAGTGACTGCTCCTTTATTCAATTTACCTCGCTAAGTTTTATTTTACAGAACATTGTAAAATATAAAACTTAACTGATTACATGCATTTCTACATTTTACAAAAATGTTTACTAGTTACACTAAGTACTTACATCACAGTGTGAGGTTTTTGGTGGTGGTTTGGCCACAAAACACGCAAGGTAACAGTCACCTAGTTCAGATTAACCAGTTTTGTCTAACCCTTGGAATCCTCACCATCACCCTGCGTCTAATGGCAAAAGGCTGCTGTCGTCATGGCTTCCGGTAAGGTCAGCCAAAGGGTCATAGGGCAAGGGTCACACAATGTATGGAAAAGCCAAGGCCAATCAGGAAAGGCAGTCATCTTAGCCTCAGTGGACACAGCCTCAGCCCCATTGGTCACTTTCAAATTGAAACATCAAGGACTTGTTAAAAAGTTTGAATTCAACATGCAACAATTTCAACATCAAACATTTAACATAACCAAAAATCCCCCCACCTCCTCCCAATAACATGCCCCAACTAGTTCAAATACAGCATAAAGCTTATTTAAGTCTACTTTGTGGTACAATACCACATTACTTTAATATAATACTTTCTTTGGCCCCGCCAATTTTAGTAACTAATGCCTATATTTTCAGCTCCTCCCCCTTTTCCCGTCCCCTACCCCACCTCCACCCCAGCCTGCCCTCAAACTTTCACATTTCTAGCTAATGCACTGACAGGTAAGCAAGGGATATATAACAAATACAGCCAACCCTCACTTCCTCCGTGGGCAGAACCCACGACAGTGCAGACAAGGGCCCATCAGAAGCCACTCCCCTCCCAACTAGGTAATAAATCAAAACCAAACACCCAGCCCCAATCCCCGCGCTCCGGCGTCCCGTGGCTGGCCCGAGCAGGCGTGAAGGCAGCGGGGTCCGGGGACACCCGACTCTAACGACCCCCGGCCCCCACGTCTGCCCGGGTTGGGAGGCCCCACCCCACCCACCCTAATGCCTGCGCCCATCTCCCACGGTCCCCAAGGGCGCGGAGCGAGCTGGGGTGGGACTCACTGCGGCTTCCGTAGCTGTAGCCGTCGCGATCGCGGCGCGGCCCCCGGGCGTGCTCCACGATCACACGCTCGCCGCAGAGCTCCTTGCCGTTCAGCTCGTAAACGGCGTCGTCGGCGTCGCGGGAGTCCTCGAACTCCACGAAGCCGTACCTGGGGGCGGTACGAAGGCCGGGCACCGGCGGGGGCGTCGTTATGAAGGACTCACACAAAAAAGGAATGGACATTCCATGTTTGTGAACTGGAAAAGTTAATATTGTCAAAGGTGCCTGGGGGCGGTACGAGGGCCGGGCACCGGCGGGGGCGTCGTTAGCCGGGGACGCGCACGTACGCATCCCCGCGGCCTCCCGCGCGCACCCGTGGCGCCGCGCCGCCGCCATCTTAGAGGCCCTGCCACGCGGCGCCGCGGCCTTGGCCGTCTCTTCCCCCGGTTAGGTTCCGCAGCCGCCGCCGCCAGGCCCTAAGCGCTGGGCGCGGGCGCCCAGGCCGGACTCACCCATTTTTGAGGTCTACTTCGAGAAGGCGGCCGTAGCCACTGAAAAAGCGCTGAATGTCCTTCTCTCGGACATTGTAGCTCAGGCGCCCTATGTAGACGCGCGGCATGTCTTTGGCGGGCGGGG